AATTGATGATAATATAGAGTAAATGAGGCACGTGTGAAATAACCAGTATACGGAATTACTTACACCTCTTTTATAATTATATACGTATGTCATATTTACTCCTCGTAAATTTCTTAACATGTAAAAATTTCTTAGGTACCATTCTGTTCTTACATTACCTCGTATTTCACAACTTGATGAATTATAAAGATGATATTTCTACCAAAAATATCAAACTATTATATACATGTATGTAATCAAGCACTGTTCTGACAGATATTTCAAAGTCTAAACCTATGAATCACCTATGTATACAAAGAATAATCCAAACATTTCTGTTTTCTTTCCTTTTATTTCATTTGTTTAGAGTAATCTTAACACACATTATAATGTATCACATAAATATTTAATATATATTTTATACAAGTATATACATTTGAGCCGTGGCATGACAAAACCAGCATAGTGCATTTGCGACCAGAATGGAACCAGACCAGCCTGCGCATCCGGGCAGTCTGATCAGGATCCATGCTGTTAGCTTACCAACTCTATTACAAGTAGAGAAACTGATAGCGAACAGCATGAGTCCTGATCAGACTGCGCAGATGTGCAGGCTGGTCTGGATCCATGCTGGTCGCAAACCCACTATGTTGGTTTTGTCATGACGCGGCTCATTTATAAACCTGGTGATATGATCATGCTGTATAACCTGATAGTGACATAATAAGCGATATATCAAAATTGGTGTACAGGACACATAGGAACCATTTTATGCTCTCCTGTGTGGAGGAAATAAAAGTATCTATCTATCTATCCACATGGACACGTGTTTAAACGTATGTGCGACCAGTGCAGATCCAAATCAGTCAGCACATCCATGCAGTCTGATCACGATTTCCACTGTTTACTTTTAAATTCATAAAAGAATTTCTGACTGAAAAGCAAAGAATGGAAAGACTGTTTTGGATCTGCATTGGACGCACATGCGTTAAAAGATGTATCCATGCGATAAAAGGTATAAGCACAATGATTCAACTTTCAAGAGTACAAAGCTATATTTCTGCTGAATGCAGTTTATAAGTTTTTTGTTTTAATTTTGAAAAAGAATAGCTCTAAAATACATCTTTGACAGAAATATGTAGGTATATTTCACTCAAATGGTGCATGCACAAAATCATTGGTAAACGGTTAACATCCTACATAAAAAAGCAGCATATTTTTTTCCTAAAATTTTTATTCTGTTTATATAGAGTATTCCTGTGTGTTAAATAACAGAGACATTCTATAATACAACTCTTAATAATCCATCACTAGATTATGGAAACAAAATAAATTTACCTTTTTTTAAATTTGGTAAAAAAATCATTAAATATAGTTTTTTATCCTTTACATGATGCTCTTTCTCTCATTCAGGATAATGGCATAAGATTTAAGATACAAGCTGGGCAAAATGGGTTTTAGTTTGAGGACCTATTTAGCAGTAAAATTATATAATTATCCTTAAACAAAAACAAGAATAGCTGATTTTTATATAAAACATTCAGAACATCACTTATGAAAACACCTATAATAAAACACAACTCAGAATTATAAGAAATAATGTATTGCACATTAAATCACTACCATACAATATACTTCTATAACATACATGTATGTATCATACAAAAACATTAACAGTAATCGTCAGAAAAATTCAAATTTTCTATTCTTTCAGGGGCATTAAACCCAAGACTCATTGTAATGCACAAGTTGGTCCAACCGCGTCAGTATAAGCTTGTAAATTCCTATAGAATAGAACTTAAATAGATTCTGCATACACTAAAAGCATCTACCGTAGTTACTAACAAATTTCCACTGCTTTAGAAACCCGTACTTGAAAAACAACAAAAACCTGACCATACATAAGGATACAATTTCATTAATTGTCAACCGTAACTGTGGTTTTATATAACAACTTACAAATGCATGATGTCATTGATGTGGGGTTTTTTTCTTTACAGTTTATGTCTGTATCCTGTATCCTGCATAGGCATCTTGCAGAACAGAAATTTACTTTGGTGACCATTGCGACATAAAACTAAGCTAAACTAAACTAAATTGTTTCAATTTTCATTACTGAAAAAATAAATCTCCATGAAAATGACATTTATTACATGTATATAACAATAAATTATAACCCCATTAATACATAGAGAAGATTGTTACTTGATCATTTCTATGTTCAATACACAAAGTTTACATTAAAGCTACATTCCCAACTAGTTAACTCATTTTTCTAAATTCTCAAACTATTCCCATGAACAACAATGAGGTATGTCATGTCAAAACCAACATAATGGGTTTGCGACCAGCATGAATCCAGACCAGCCTGCGCATCCGGGCAGTCTGATCTGGATCCATGCTGTTCGCTTACAAACCCTAATACAAGTAGAGAAACTGATATCGAACAGCATGGATCCTGATCAGACTGGTCTGGATCCATGCTGGTTGCAAATGCACTATGTTGGTTTTGTCATGGCATGGCTCATTAATATCAATGTTTGTGGGGGGGGGGGTTTAATTAGAAATTACACATGTACATGTAATGTTATTTTAATATCAAATCTGGTGCCATACTTGTGTTGTAATTTTCACATTTACAAGGTATGGTTACAGTTATAAATGTATTTTCACAAATATAATGTAAATATAACAAGAATGAACAATTCTCACATTTACAGTGGTAATTTTAAAAATTATACTGCAATGTTCACAAATATACTGGTATGTTAAAAATTACATTACAATTTTTTCATATACATGTATAATGTAACGTGAACATACACATTGAAATATGTTATAAATTTCACTGCAATATTTACATGTATAATGTAATGTTATTAGAAACACTGTAATCTTCTTTTTTATTCTGCATTATTCACACAACCTTTTAAATGTCCATTTATATTTTCAAACAAAATGTTCACACATATCATATAAATTGCAATGTATGAAAATACAATGTAAGTTTCATATATGCAAAGCAAGGTTCATATCAACTATTTAATGTTCATATATACTATGCACTGTCAACAACTTTTCTGTGATATTAACATATACATTGAAATTCCAATTTAATAAATTTACACATACATTGAAATGTTAAGACCTAATGTATTTTTACATGTGAACTGTAAGGTGAACAATACCAAGTTATGTTCTTGAATATTAAAATGTAACATACATGTACAGATCCTGTTACACAATTTTTTCAAGGTTTTATTTCACAAAAATGATGCTCAAATTAAGATTTGTCAATATTGTAAGTTCAAATCAGCATTATTTATAAAGATATTACCCAATTTAACATTTCATGTAAATAAAGGGAGGTAATTAGAAATTTATTTTCTATAAATTCTAAGTCAAATTTTCCAATAAGAAATGAATGCAAGTAAATTTATTGATTATTTATAATGTGCACAAATATTTGCAGTACACATTTTACATATTCTTTGATGTTTGAAAATTGTTTTATTTGCATAATATATAATTTTTTGCAAGTGTGGTATACACACAGTATCAATATCAATCACAAAACATACAGGATCTTAATGTTTATATATATATCCTGCACTGATCATTCATTTACATTGTTTTTACTGGAATGTTTCTATACATCTAAATTCAACAAATCTTTAAAACTATAGATTCCAATGTCAAACTTGCACCAGGCACAATTATATTGTACATAAGTTTCATGTTAAATTTAATTATAATATTACCTTGATTAACATTTGTGTACTTAGCACAGCAATGTATACAAGCACGACAGTGGAGTGTAACAATGGCAAATGCACAAATATGCCACTCTCAAAACTTGTGTACAAAATGGCCATCTCAACATAACAGCAAACATTAACACTCATCTCACCACTTCAGTGTACACAAATCTCAATCTTAAAGCAACATGGTATAAAATGGCCATTTAACTTTCGAACCATCAAATCACTAGTGCAAACAAATGGTCTTTTCAACCTTGCAGTTAACACAAATGGCAATATTATCACTACAGTGTAAAGAAATGGCCATTTCGACTTTTACAGAGTATATAAATGACCATTTAAACTCTATAGGTCAAACCAATTGCCATATCAACACTACAGTGCACACAATTGGTGATTTCAACACTAGTATATGCATACATGTAATTAAGGCCCTGTCCTGTCTGTAGCGAGCAAAAAAACTGCAACAGTCATCCCTCTATCACTGATACACTAGACTGTTACAGTATTTACTATCTCCTGCTATTTTTATCCATGTCTTCCACCATGTTCACAAGTCTTTGTCTTGCTTTTCTGTTCAGATGATCTACAGCATTCACTAACACTAGTAACTGTTTGATAGAATATTCCTGAAACACAATTATTAACATTAGTGTTACTATAAGAATTTTCTGTGATAACTTTACCTTATGGACTACATTATTTCCTAAAGGAAACTTGACCACTCTCCATTTTGAAGCAGTCCATTTCAATTTAATGGATACCAAACAATGTAGAATAATAAAGACAACTAAAGTAGAATTTATTTTTTTATAATATCATTGAATACATGTTTAAAATATACAGTCTTCTACAGTAAAAACAATAAATAATAAAAACAAAAATGATGTGAAGATTGTCTCACAGAAGCATATAAATTGACGCCATGTTAACACTGTTAAGCCATGTTTCATAATAAGGCGCAAAATTATAGAATAAAATGGATTTATAAAGATACTATATGACTTGAAAAAAAGCAAATAAAATGATGGTAAGAATATGTAAAAGCAAGTAAACACTAACTTTACAAAATAAAAAAAAGCAATACCAAAATGACAGATTATTAATAAAGTACTTTTGAATTAATTCTATTTGGAGATCTTGTGCCAAATACTTGATTGGTTCTTTACTTTCATTTACAGTTTAAATCAATTAAACATTAATTCAATTAAATTAATTCAACATTAATCAATTTGTTTCAAAAAATGTGTCAGCACAACTTAAATAAACATATACTTTTACTGTCAACATTCAGATTTCCATTTCTCAAATAGCTTTTATAGGAGAAGAAATACAAAAGAGTATAATGATTGAAATGACAACTTGGCATCGGTGGCACTAAAACTTAACAACAATGATAACATCCTCCAGTTGGGATATGGATATGACATATAAGAACACCCTTTGGTGGGGTATGGATACATAAAATGACATATAGAATGAGAACACCCTCTTTTGGGGTATGGGTACATAAAATGACATATAAAATGAGAACACCTTCTGGTGGGGTATGGATAAATATAAAATGACATATAAAATGAGAACACCCTCTGGTTGGAGTCTAAATAATGAAGACATACCCTATGTTCAGGTAACCACGCTTCCAGCTGATTCTCTGGGAAGTAATAGGCTTTGATATAGCCCTCAACATACTCTCTATCTGGTATAGGCCTACAGACAAAAAAACATGAAATTCTATATATTCCTTTAAAAAAAACATGCACAAAATCAAGTTTAGTATCAACATATCCTATCTTCATAGTGTTATGTGTTTATTTTATACAGTTGTATGAATGTTATATATTGGTCACACAAATAAGTACTAACAACTTTAAACTTTGGCAGCAAATGATCTAATATTTACATAACAGTACAAATGCATGTATTGGCTTTATAAGGTCAAATTTTACTTTGTTTTATGTAAAGGTCTGAGTGAACCAACCTAAGATCTATTAGTTTTTCTACATTTTTCAGGTATTGTTGGAAGTCGAGTTGCATCAAGGCCCTGCCTTCTATACTACATTTCTTTGTATTACCATAGCCCTCGACAAATGTTCGGGCTGACAAACGTAATATCTGGTCCCAAACCTGATCATAGGTAGCTCTTGGTACTGGCATATGTCGACATAATTCACTCATATACGAGTTAAAGTCAGAAAATTGCTGAAATAGTAATGAAAAGGTAAATATTCTGCCATGATTGATAATAACAATGTTTACATATTATGTCTATCCATATATAATATTTTATGCAAAATATAAAAAATAAAACAACTCAGTAAACCCACAATGGATTCTTTCAGAAACTACATTTTGTAGGTGTTGAAAGTGATTAAAGCTTGTTAAACTTTTCCATTATCAGGGAGGAAAAGAAGTTTCTTCCATGTTTAATTACCAGAATTGAATAGATTTAATTCTCATACACTAAACGCTTTGAATCTAATCAAGAACTGTCTAAAGTGAGAGTAAAAATTGAATCTTTTTACAATCAATCTATATCAAATCCCATACCTTTATAATAAAACTACAGACAAATAGCAATCGCTATATGTGTTTTATACCTAAACATGAAATTCTGTATAAACTAAAGGGATATAACTTACTTGAATTAAAACATCAACATACGAATTATGCTGTGACATAATTTCTTTAATATCCCATTTCACTGCTGCCATATGTTGCAAAATTATATCATAGTTTATCACATTAGTTGACACAGTCCAGTAGACTGGTTTACGCAACTCAGCTGCCATATTTACTGTCTGTAAAAATAGAACACAGTCTAGGTTTAACCTAAAACAAATGTGTTTGTCCTACACTCAATTTAGAGTAGTCCACTTATAGTTCAAGGGATTTCAGTATAGACAGTCCAGAACCTGGTGATCAAGCTCTATTTTGGTAGCAAAGGCTAACAATTTTCTCTTCCTACAGGTTAAGGGCTAGAGAAGAATCTCATAGAGGATAATGAAATAAATTCATATTTAATTTTTTGTAAGTAACTTGTTTATAGAGTTAAATAAGACCTAGATTAATCATCAAATCCTTTTCTATGTAACAGTTCTCAGATGCCAGATATTAAATCAAATTCAAAAGGGGAGTGGTGACATAGAATCAAAGGTGACAGCCTCTCAACAGTGAGATCATTGGTTTGAGCCCTGCTCAGGTACCGATCACTTTTTCTTACATAACACCAAGACTGGTTAGTACTCAAGACTGGGACAGATTAAGTTCAAGTTTTTATCACAAAAGGTATGTTTTAACTAAACCAGGTAGTAAAATGCATATAACCCCTGGAAACAAAACCTGGAATTACTCAGTAATAATTTACCTGTGAGTAAAATTGTTGAAGGAATGCTTTCTTATTTTGTGGAATGATAGCTTCAAGATGTGGCTGTAAAAACTCCATTTGTTCCCCAAGAAACACTCTGTAGCAGAAAATATTGTCAATTATTATATAATCTATAAATAGCTTTAAAATGCCTATCCTTCATTGGCTAAGAAGTAACTTTTTGTAGAAAATAACAGGTCAATATCAAAGTATATTCATCATTTTTTCCCAAAAAAAGATTTTTCTAAGTATATTCACCATTTTTTTCCCTAAAAATAGATTTTCTTAAAAATTATGCAAAAGACGCAAAAATATTATGTAACGTCAAGCCTTGTTTGATGTTATCATGGAAAAACATTGGGTGACTGCAAATAAAAAGTCAATTTGGTTGGATTTTACCAGGCGAACAAAAATCAAGAAAGCTTCTTAACCAGTTCAAGTTATTAAGTACAATATAAATATGTACTGACAGTATTATAGATCAGGAAAACAAGATATATACAATGAATATTGGGATATATAAAACTCAAATAATTGTAATTTCACGAAATAATTTATAACTGTAGATGTCAAATTAAAAAGAGAAAGCAAATTAATTATTTCAGTAGTAAATACTACTAGATAAGAAAATAGTTTACTCAAAGCGGGTAATTTTATATTTATTATATAACAACATTGAATTCATTACTATCCTTACAAGTTTTAGTTTGTTTTAAGTAACAACAAAATATAAATGTTTTCATCTTAACTGGTAGGTAAAGACCCTATAAGTTGCATTATAACAAACATATGTGCTATCTTCCAAAACAACTATCTGGACACTGCAAATGCAATGTCACAAGATAATAAATCACCTGGACACTGCAAATGCAATGTCAAAAGATAATAAATCATTGGACAATAAATGTAAACAAATATATATATGTGTGAATATATGTATGTACATACAATGATTCTGCTGCAACTATCCTCTCAGGGAGACCAAACCTCTTCTGTGGATTGTTTAAATCAACAATGGGTGACAGATGTGGAGCTGCTATCTTCTCCTGCTGAACAACAACAAAACACAACTCATTAACATAGAACATACATTGTTGCTTTTAGAAGATAAAATTTCCACTTGTGATTACTCAAGCTTAAAGTAACCTCATTTATAAAGGTATTTGTTTCTAGATGGTTTCTTTTTAAAGTTAACATCAAACTGTTACTGACCAAATAAGAACTATAATAATGGCATTCAGCTTTAGGTATTGTAAACTTCAGTCTGTACATGGAAATAGTCTTAAAAGTTTGTACATGGAAATAGTCTTTAACAAAAGATTGTCTGTATATATAACTATAGTAATGTGGAAACAAAGTGATCCCTTGAAGGCATTAATCACAAGAAAATTACATGAAAATTGCATACTCGGTTTGATTGAGTCTGTGCATGAGGGAAAATAAATAAGTGCAGAAGTATAGAAGTTAGATATGATATTATGTTAACATGTTTACCCTATGTTCTGTATGTTGAGGATCCTCCATGTTATCTACCTCATGTACATCATCTATAAGACTGTCATGTATCCTCTGTAACGTCGACCTCAATCTATTGTTTATCTGACGCTCATCCATAGATGACTGTAACAAAATCAGCATTGCAATATTTCTACTTATAAAAGTAAAACAAAATTAAAACTTTCCTGATTACAAATTATGTCTCTATAGCACTGTAGCAATTCCAAAGGGAGGCACTGGTGTCACTCTAATCAATACAGGTTATATTAAGGTCAACATTCAGTCAAGTTACCTTCAGACCACATGATGGAGTCAAAATCAATAATTTTAATATCTTATCAAACATTTATATATTTCAAAATTCCAACTGTCAACAGTACTGAGTGATTCAAAATTAAGGACCTCCATTGCACATTTGAAAGTTCTCTTACTTATTGTCTTCACAGATACAAATTGAAAACAAAAATTAGACAAAAAAGCATTAAACAAACAAAAAAGCTAGTTTAATGTTTTAATCTATGTACAAACATTTAATTTACTTCTGATTCAAAATTGTAATTTTCAATTGGTTCAAGTATATAATTCTAATGACTTTCATACTTATTCAAAATAAGTTAAATGCTACTTACTAGTTCTGTTCCAAAAAATATGAAAACCTGAAAGATAGAGGAGGACATGTAACAGTTTAATGTCTGTATAACAAAACTTTCTCCGATAAAAAATGACACATTCTTAGGATAAACATATGCTTTTAAAAAAAAATGATATGCACATGCTTACATGCTTAACTACATCCTTTAACTCAAAAGGGAGAGTATCATATAAGTTATCCAATTACTTATTCCGAAAAACCCATAAGGTGGACAGACTGCCGGGATATAACCGGAAAAAAAAAGTGTTGAAAACAGCGTAAAAAACAATCAAAATTTACTGGGCAAACATAATTATCATTATACTATTATATTATACTTTGTATTTTCATGTATATTCATTTTGAAAATTTCATTGTTTAACCATGATGTAAATTATGTATATTTTATGTATATTTATGTTTTTGAGGCCCACATGGAAGATTGGGTAACCAAATGTGTAGCCTCAGTAAATAAAGACTTTACTTACTTACTATTTTAGAACAATGTGCTTTTATATAAGACCTCTACAATACTTTTTACAATAGTCACATACAGTAAGATGAAGATTTAAAGCAACCAATACTTACAGAGTACATATAGAAGTCAAATAGTTGAGCCATACAGGTCATCACATCAAATGCTATAGGCTTTAATAATCTCATCATCTGTATATATTTCCCTGTAACATATCTCACATTATTTCAATGAACACTTAAACACCTTCTTTATTACAATGTACAAAAGTTAAATTCACAAACTCATATTTGTCTTATTTATAAAGACAAAGAATACACATTACATCCCTCTTTCAAAGAATACACATAACTTCCCTCTATCAAAAGGAATTTGAGACAATTAAAATTGCACTTGAAATCAAACATGGGTAACTTGCAATTAAAAGAAAAATTTCTTTAGTAAATTAAAGAAATAAATCAATCATTTGTCTTTTAGCTAAGAGCTTGACTAGATGTTAAGATATCTGGCTGTCAACACAGAGAATGTGGATTCAATCTCTACATGGATCAAAAACAGTTTGCTCTTATGACACCTGTATACTTTATCTGACAAAAGTAAGCTACAGTTAAAAAAAAAATTCTGTGAAACTGCTTTTAAGAAAAATATCATGAAAGAAACTGTCATAATTTGGTTTACACATAATTTATTTTAGTTTGATTTTGTAGGAAGCTATAACCTTATAGACACACCCTCGAATCCGCTCCTGGAACCAACCAGTAGTGAGCAATGAGTGTGAAGTTTGTTGCTCAAGGAAACAACGACTTGCCCCTGATGGGGTTTGAACCCATGGGACTAGCAATCTAATGATTGCTAGTCCAATGCAGTAACCACTCGGCCATGCCGCCACTTTTATGTCATGATTTGAACTGTTTTATTTAAATATAACTCACCTATAACTCTGAACACATTCAGTGATGTATTGGTTACAATAGAAACATGTTTCTGGTAACTCCTACTTCTAGAATATCTTCTTCTGCCTGGCCTGAAGTTAACAGATTAAGTTCATCTATTAAACAAAGCATTTTTATTATGCCTTTTTTACTTTTACCCATTTTCCAAACACAATAACATAAATAATGCAAACATTTTTTTGTTGATCTTTTTAGATGGGTTTTACTTCGCACCAACACAGTATAGGTCAGATGATGACTTTCCAGCTTTTACTGGTGGTGGAAGACCTCAGGTGCACTTCCATGCAATATTTAGGGCTTGAACAGGCACCTAAGTAGACGTTCCATAAGCTAGCTGGATAGCTTCCTTACATAAAAGAATCCATCCAAAGTCCCTGTCAGGATTCGAACCCACAGCAGTGACGGGCAAGTTGTTTTTGAAGTCACTAACCTTAGCCACTCGGCCACTGATGTCTACTAATGCAAATGTAAATTATCACATACAGTCCGACCCCGGTTATTCGACAACCTTTTATTCGAATACCCGGCATTATCCGAAGTAGATCGCCGGTCCCGTTTTTATCTCTATATAAAACAATATAAATACGAGCGTATTAATCGAAATACATTATCCGAATACCTCCTATTTTTCGAAGTAAAATTTCGGTCCCGATTATACAATTACGAAAGAATTTCACACCTATTATTCGAAGCCAGCCTAATCATTATTAGAAGCCAGACTAATTGACGCAGATCCACTCACTTGTGAAAAATATCCATAGTCATGCGTGTAATTAGACAATCATGATAAAAACTCTTTGTGTGTTCTTTAATCAACTTTAATTAACGAAAATGAAAAGCTATGCACCGGGTCCGATTTTGTTTAAGATGACAGCAATAATTTTTATACATTCTGTATACATGCATGTGAATTTGTCAAAACATCCAAAAATTTTTTTTCAGTAATTGTAACGCTACATAAGAGCCTTAATTTATCCTAATCGAAAATACCAGTTTAGCTGTAAATACCGTAGTGACGAAACGGCCATTATAAAGGCTTTGCGCGAAACGAAACGATTCATAATCTAGAATAAAATGCAAGTATTTATGTCTTCAATGTCAATACAATAATCTATACGCATCTTTTCTTTAATATCTATTTTTCTCAATTGATTACAGGAAGCAAGTGTGTTGTAAACGGTAGTTTTGCGGTGATTGGTCAAAGTGGAGTAGTTTTCGTCTATCACAATATTCCGATTTTGATTATTCGAACCCATCGATTATTCGAAGTAAATATTCAGTCCCAGGCACTTCGAATAAACGGGGTTAGACTGTATATATAATTGTCTCATATAGGATCCAACTTAATATCCTGAAATTTACAAACAGATACACATCTTTATCACCATAGCAAGTAACAATGCTGTTAAGGCCACTTGACGACTTTTCCAGCTTTACTAGTAGAGGTAAACATCCAGTGCTTCTCTGTGCATGCCCCTTTGTGCATTATTACAGACACAAGCAGTCATCTGATTAGGAAAAACAATCATTTTGTAAGTGAGAAGGATTGCAAAAAAAAAATAAAGAAGTTTTATATATCTCTTAAAATTTTAAGACTGGTTACATGTATGTACCTGGAATGTGTTTCTCCTGTTAATTCATCTATATAATCTTGTTTGAGTTCATCAGGAACATCAGAGTCACTATCACTGTGCTCCTCTCCACTGTTATCATCCTGTCATATATACATATATACTTCATGTAAATAGTGCATTATGTGAAAGTATATGTTTATGGTTTATTACAATAACAATAAATTGGTTCAAGGAATGAAATAAAATTGGTTCATAAAATAAAATAGAACTATATTTTTTGCTGATTTTATACATTTTCTACCAGATATGAAATGTATAAATAATCGTAATCCATCTGTATGTTTAATGCATAAAAATCTTCTTTCACTTTTTTTTTACTTTTTTGTTGTTGCCATATTAAACTACTCCAATACTGATGGATTATTAGAATGTTTTGGGGTTTGTTTTTTTTTTAATAAATTCGACATACCTTTTTTATTTTAGGGGCCATTTTTAGTGTCCCAAGTAACCTAGATTTGATTTCTACATTTGATAATATTTCTGCCATGTAAAACACTTTTGTTTTTGTTTTTGTATATAATAATTAAGCATGGACAGAACAGAACATATACTTTATTTCTGACTTGGGCTCAACACCCATCATCATAACATACATATACATGTATAATTATTGCAATGCATGCATCAAGAATCATATCCTAATAAATTCAATAAGTTATATTCAAATATTTAAACATGACATAGTTAAACAAGTTGATTGAGAATGCCAAAAAATAAATTTTTATATTAATAATATTATATTGATATGCTAATCTACCAAATTGTCTCGTCTTTCAAATGCATTAATACACAATATTGCTAATTTTCTAATAACCAATTTTCTATCTGCCTTTAACAATTGTATGAATTTGTAAACACTAGGATCTACAGTAAAATATCTTGAAATGTACATACTTCTAAAATCACTATAAATTGGACATATTAATATAAAATAAAATTCATCCTCTATATCCCCGGACCTACATAAAGTGCATTTTCTCTTATTTCAATACCACTGTGTCTTCCAGATTCAATATGTAGTTTATGGGAACTTAATCTAATTTTTGCAAGAACTGATCTGTGTTTTGCATTTTCTAATAAATTAAGATAAATAGACCTTTCATAATTAGCTTTAATATTGGAATACAATTGCAAGGTAACACTATACATATATACTTGTAGGAAACAGAGTCTACCTGTAGGAGTAGACTGGCCAGTCCTAGAACTGTTAACAAAAAGCTACGAGAACCACTTCATAATGTTTCTTTTTTATTGTTTCTTTTTTGTATGACCTACATGGGGAATGAATCTTAAAATTTATTCTGATCTTATGACCCTTTTCATGTGGGGGTTGTGTTCAGTGAACACCACCTTTCCTTGTTGATCTTGTTTACCATATTTGATCAAGTTTCAAGTTTTATTTAATATATAACCAAGTTTGCATACATGTTCAATGTATTTAGAATACAAAAACATGAGACAAAGGCTGAAATAATAATAAATAAATATATAAACAGTCACATAAACAATTCAACTGCTGAGGACAACAATTTCCTGATTTTTAAAAATGCTAGTCCATTTCACAGAACTAGGACTGTAATGTTAATTGATCAAATACATACCCCTACTCCTGCGAACACATCTTCTTGATAATCTGTGTCAGTCTGAATATCAAATGGACTTGAGTTCCCTGAGTATTCTTCAAAATATTTGCATCTTTTTATCGGAGAATCTGATTGGTCAGCCAGTTTGTTATTGCTATTCTTATTGGCTGAAATTTTCTTTGGTGAAGTCTGCTTCATAAATTTGAATTCCTGTTTAAAATAAAATAGGATTGTGTATTTCAAATAACAAGAACTGTCGGAGGACAGTAACGCTAAACTATTCGAAAAGTTGTCATAAGGGTGTTTCATCATGTATGATAATGCTTACCTATATGAATACATAAAATTGTCCTTAAAGGTAAAAAGGCTTGTTATTAAGATGTTTTATCGAGTAAATCACTACTTTATTATTATGAATGCATAAAATTGTCCCAAAAAAGGCACAAACCCTTCAGCAGTTATGGAGATACCAGCTTACAAGCAAAACTTTTACCAAGAATTTCTATGCCAAAAAAGGGCATAATTATGAAAAAAACAAATCAAGAGTTATGGGACTTGAGCCAATCATGTAAGATAATCACAGAGAACAAGTTTGTGAAGTTTCAATCTATTCCCTTTAGTAGTTATGAAGATACCAGCTTACACGCAAAAACTTAACCAAGAATTTCTAAGTCAAACAAGAGGGCCATGATGGCCCTGAGGTCGCTCACCTGTATATAGCCCCCCCCCCCCCGGCCCAATTTTTACCCAAGGGCTTTTATTTGTTTATTTGAACAGACTTGGTAGACACCCATAAGAAGATGTTTCATGCAAAACATCTAAGTTCTAGCTCATTGGGTTTTTTAAAAGAAGATTTTTTAAGTTTTTACTATACACATAGAGCAAAAAACAATGACACCCCTCGGGCAGGGCCAGTTTTGACCCCTGGGCTTTTATTTGAACAAACTTTGTAGATATTTACTTAAAGATGTTTCATGCTTAATATCTAAACTCTAGTTATTTGGGTTTTTTCAAAGAAGATTTTTAAGTTTTTGCTATGTATATAAGGAAAATCAATGACCCCCGGGGCGGGGCCAGTTTTGACCCCAGGGCTTTTATTTGAACATACTTGGTAGACACCCATTAGAACATGTCTCATGCTAAATATCTTAGCTCTAGCTCTTTGGGTTCTTTAAAAGAAGATTTTATAAGTTTTTACTATATGCATATAAGGAAAATCAATGACCCCTGGGGAGGGGCCAATTTGGACCCCAGGGGTTTTATTTGAACAAACTTGGTAGACATTCACTAGAAGATGTTTCATGCCAAATATATAAGCTTTAGCTCTTACAGTTCTTTAAAAGAAGATTTTTTAAGTTTTTACTATATGCATATAGGGAAAATCAATGACCCCCTGGGGCGGGGCCAATTTTGACCCCAGGGCTTTTATTTGAACAAACTTGGTAGACATTTACTAGAAGATGTTTTATGCCAAATATCTAAGCTCTAGCTCTTACAGTTCTTTAAAAGAAGATTTTTTAAGTTTAAACTATATGCATATAGGGAAAATCAATTACCCCCAGGGCGGGGCCAATTTTGACCCCAGGGCTTTTATTTGAACAAACTTGGTAGACATTCACTAGAAGATGTTTCATGCCAAATATCTAAGCTCTAGCTCTTTGGGTTCTTTAAAAGAAGATTTTTTAAGTTTTTACTTTATGCATATAGGGAAAATCAATGACCCCCTGGGGCGGGGCCAATTTTGACCCCAGGGCTTTTATTTGAACAAACTTGGTAGACATTCACTAGAAGATGTTTCATGCCAAATATCTAAGCTCTAGCTCTTACAGTTCTTTAAAAGAAGATTTTTTAAGTTTTTACTATATGCATATAGGGAAAATCAATGACCCCCCGGGGCGGGGCCAATTTTGACCCCAGGGCTTTTATTTGAACAAACTTGGTAGACATTTACTAGAAGATGTTCCATGCCAAAAATCTTAGCTCTAGCTCTTACAGTTCTTTAAAAGAAGATCTTTTAAGTTTTTACTATATGCATATAGGGAAAATCAATGACCCCCCGGGGGCGGGGCCAATTTTGACCCCAGGGCTTTTATTTGAACAAACTTGGTAGACACTCATTAGAAGATGTTTCATGCCAAATATCTAAGCTCTAGCTCTTAGGGTTGTTTAAAAGAAGATATTTAAAGATTTTTCTTTCGGTTGCCATGGCAACCAGAGTTCTGCATGGAATTAAATTCTTTGAACAATTTTTAAAGGTGACCACCAAAGGAACATTCCTGTGAAGTTTGGATGAAATTGGCTCAGTGGTTTATGAGGAGATGTCATTTAAAGCAAAAGTTTACGGACGGACGACGGACGGACGACGGACGGACGGACGGACGCCGGACGAAAAGCGATCACAAAAGCTCACCCTGTCACTTTGTGACAGGTGAGCTAAAAGGGGCATAATTATGCAAAAAAGCAAATCAGAGTTATGGGACTTGTGCCAATCATGTTAATCACAGAGAATAAGTGTGTGGAGTTTCAATCCATTCCCTTCAGTAGTTATGGAGATACCAGCTTACACGCTAAAACTTAACCACTGGGACGCCGACGCCGACAAATGGGTGACTGCATTAGCTCGATTATTCTGCGAATAGTCAAGCTAACAATCGCAAAAATAGTTTGGCAAAAGAATAAGTTATTGCACAACTATTGCATAAAAAAAGTCTAAATTATCAAATATTAATGAATAATTTTAAAAAAACAAATTCTTTTTCAGTCTGATATGATGCCACACTAACAGCATTTACTGATGGAGGAATTACTCTTACATTATTGTATATAAGCTTGAAAAAAAATCATTACAAGAAAGAAATTTGCATTGTTCAAAACTATACAGGTCAGAGTCAAGTAAATCTCAACATTTTGGCAAACTTCCAAAATAACTTATATTTTAAAAACAAAACTATTCAGCAATATTTCAGCAGTTTACTTGAACTTATGGAAGTCAAATCTAGGTATGAGGGTCTTCCAACTAAATCTATACCAAATTTGTATCTCTATCTGTTGAACAGAAATAATTTGTACTTCATTCTTTTAGGATCAAAATATGTTTATCTATTCCTTATTTCCTAAATATTTATGTTTCAGATTAAGTTTTGCTATAGTTATTTATAAGTATTACTGACCACAAGATGTTGTATATGAAAGGATGATTTTACAGGACAAAGCTCCCAGCCTTCATTCTCTAGAAACATTCTTAACTCATCCATCTTTGCCCTGAAACACATGAAATAAAAATTTACATAACCATATAACTAAATGAGACTGTGAAATGCTCCTTTGTGTTTCATATACCAAAAGCATTTCAAGTACATCTTGACTAACAAAGTCATGTGATAAATGACCTTGACAATGAGGATAATATTGATATTGCTATTAAGAGATTGCTATTGACGATGACTTGACAATAAGATTGCATAAAGATGTATTGTTTCTCGCTGCAAAGTAGATTTAAATTTTTATTTCTACCAGGACATAAATCATCTCCGGGACACCTCTGTGATTTCTGGGATAGTCCCGGATGTCCGGGATGTCATGGCATGTATGCATTTCAAATGACCTTGACATTCATGAAACAACAAAGACTATGATGACTAACCTGTGATGATTTTTGAAGTAGTTCAGACTCTGTTGTTTAAGAGAATCTTGTAAATGTTCTGACTTACTGTCACAGAAGTCTTCACCAATATCTATCATTCTGAAATATACAGAGTAAAGCATGAATATATGTTCAGCATTGAATTTATTAAGCAAGGTTATATTAAATGAAAACAAGAATTTGTAACAGAGTTATCAATGAAAAGAAAGTTTTACATGAAGCACAAAATTGTGCTATTTTGGTAATTGAGGTATGGATCTTGACTTGCAGTGCAAAATTTTGATACATTTGTATATTTGTTATCACTATTTCAAAGCCACAAAATGTAACAAATACAAAATCAATACAGGATATAGTCTGTTACAGGGTATATTTTGTGTCCAGTCATCAATCAAGGTATGTCGGCCATTTTACCAATGACATTTAATTTGCATGGGCCTTACTTTGCATTGTACCCTGTAACAGACTGTTTTAGGCTTTGACCTCAAAGTGTGACCTTAACCTTTGAGGTAGTGATTGACATGTCATCTTATCGTTGTTAAATTTTGTGCCAAGTTATTTTAAAATCCTTTGATTGATGAAAACATAAAATATACCCTAGAACAGACATGTTTAGCTTTAGCACTCAAGTGTGACTTTCTTGATTATCATGACAAGAGGCAGTTGAGTTGTAAGACAAGGGGCATAATTCTATTTAAGCAATATTTATGGAGTTAATCCCGTTTTAATTTTTGTCAAAAGTGGTTATGTGAACAGACTAACATTAACACCCCAAGCTGTGCTCTTGTCTTAATTTGATGTCTGACTGTTGGCTCTCTCAATATTTTGAATGTTTGTTTAATGATGTTTAAAACGTTTACAAGTTTTCTTTTTGAACTAGTCATAAATTATTTCCTTTTAGATTATAACTGAATTTTGTCATGTTATTGCCCCTCGCCTTTTCAAAGAAAAACGCTCCACTGTCTGTCCGTCTTTCCGTCTGTCACATTTTTGTGTCCAGTCCATAACTATGTAATTTATCAGAGGAATTTGAAATAACTTGGCACAAATGTTTTTTTTTATAATAAGACAATGTGTCATGTGCAACAACCAGAACCCCTACCTCCAAGGTCAATGTCACACTTGGTGATTAAAGGTCAACATTGTCTATGTCTTGTCCGATCCATAACTCTTAAACAAGAAGCAATTTTGAAAGTACCAAATGTTCACATAAATGAGATGATGTGTCATGTGCAAAACCAGTGGCCTATTTCCAATGTCAAGGCCACCCTTAGAGGTCAAAGTTACAATGGTCTTCTATAGGGTATATCTTGTGTGCAGTCCATAATTTTTTATTGTTCAAAGAAAATTTGAAATTATTTGGCACAAATGTTCACAATAATAGGATCATGTGTCATATGCAAAAGCCAGACTCCTACCTTCAATATAAGGCTTAATTAAGGACATGAATAAACAAGAGCTGTCACAGGAGACAGCGAAGCTCGACTAATAAAATACTGGACGCAGTAAGGAGGACAAAACTATGAAAGAAAAATCAATTATGTATAATTATGTATTAAGTTATAGTAAAAAAATAACATGTGTTAACATAAATTCCAAGATCAAGGGGAATAATTCTAGAAATAGTCATGCTAGAGTTATGGACCTTGCCACACAACATTTGTGTAATGATAAGAAATATGTATTTGAAGTTTGAAGTAGATACCTTAAAAAATAAAGAAGTTATTATATTTCTTAAAGAAAATCCGAAGTTCAAAGAGAGATAAATCTGTAAATATTGCTTCAAGAGTTATGAACATTGTCACATAAAATGTAATTGATGATAAGGAATAAGTATTTGAAGTTTGAGGTAGATACCTTTAAAAATAAAAAAGTTAAAATAAAAAATAACATTTTTCTAGTAAATAAATCTAAGTTTATGGGGAGATAATTCTTGCAATATTGGTGCTAGAGTTATGAACCTTGTCACATAAGACGTGGATGATGATAACGTAAATATATTTGAAGTATGAAGTTGATCCCTTTAGAAATAAATAAGTTACAGTAAAAAATAATATTTTTTATGGAAAATTCTAAGTTCAAAGGGAGATAAATCTGAAAATATAGGTGCTAGAGTTATGAACCTTGTCACATAAGATGGGGATGATGATAACACAAATATATTTGAAGTATGAGGTTGATCCCTTAAGAAATAAAGAAGAAACAGTAAGAAATAGTATTTTTTGAGGAAAATTCTAAGTTCAAGGGGAGATAAATCTGAAAATATTGGTGCTAGAGTTATGAACCTTGTCACATAAGATGGGGATGATGATAAGGTACATATATTTGAAGTATGAGGTTGATCCCTTAAGAAATAAAGAAGTATCAGTAAAAAATAGTATTTTTTAAGGAAAATTCTAAGTTCAAGGGGAGATAAATCTGAAAATATTGGTGCTAGAGTTATGAACCTTGTCACATAAGATGTGGTTGATGATAAGGAACATATAATTGAAGTTTGAAGTTGATACCTTAAGAAATGACAAAGTTATAGTGAAAAATATTTTACTGCACCAAAACTTTAATCTAAAATCTGGACGCGGACGCCGACGCCGGGGCGAGTAGGACAGCTCTCCATATACTTCATATAGTCGAGCTAAAAACAATTACCTGACAATGTTTTGTTTCTTCAAATATTATACAGTAAACTTCCAACATTATGTAAATTAAACATACCTGTTGACAGTATCCAAGAACTGTATAAATTCCTCTAGTTTAAATGCTGACAAATCTATCCCAAGAATATATGTTCTAACTTTTTGTTGTATGTCCTGCCATATTCTACCTAATCCATGTTCAAGCTTCTGTTTGATATAGACTGTGTTCATAGAATCTGTGTCACTAGAGTCTTCATCTGTTAAAACATAAATGCTGGATTAAAAAAATACCAAAATGTGGATTCTATTGATTATTCTGTGAGTAAATTATGAGAATGTCATATCTTATTACCTAGAATAAGGGTCAACAATAACATTGTAATTAATTTTAGCACAACTCAGGTGCATGTACACTTTTATAAAATATGTAGAATTTAATTAAACAGTAAATTATTTATTTGTACATATTCGATCTCACATGTATACATTGGCAAAACTGAAGCTAGTGTGGACCTGTTCACAAATCTTAATGACAGTACATGGATTAAGTGAGGAAGAAAGAAAATGGACTGACCTATTTGTACTGACACTAAGTGGATTAAGACAGGAAGAAAGAAAAGGGACTGACCTATTTGTACTGTATCTAGGTTATCATGTTCTTCATGCCATCTTATAGTGTTATAATAACTTCTCATTACTCCCCATAGTGACTTACATAAATCTCGCAAACATGGTGTGAAACTTTCTATTGTTACATGCTGTAAATATATATATGTAGACAAAAACAGGAGAAATAATATAAGATGTAAAATCTATTTTATTATATTAACATGTTTAGTAGATATTTATAAAATATCAAAATAAATTATATATACATTCATCATATTCAGCAGGTCCCATGCTCCTACATGTTATTTACAGGAAATTTCAGTAACTAGTATAATATGCAGATCATAGCATATATCATTACAATGTATATTTAAATTATTTAATAACATGAGTCTAGGGGGCGTCCGTGGCTGAGTGGTTAAGGTGACTTCAAGCCACTTGCCCCTCACTGCTGTTGGTTTGAATCCCGACAGGGACTTTGGATTCTTTCATATGAGGAAGCTATCCAGCTAGTTTATGGAACGCCAGTGGTTCTACTCAGGTGCCTGTTCGTGCCTGAAAAAATGCACGTAGGTGCACCCGAGGTCTTCCTCCACCAGTAAAGCTGGAACGATGCCATATGACCTATACTGTGTTGGTGTGACTTAAAACCCAATCAAACAAACATGAGTCCAATATGGGCATTATTAGAAGCATTTTATTGCCATAACATATGTACATGTAATGTAAAAAAAGATTCCAGTGTTTTAAATATTTGTAACTACGATTGCCAAATTCTTAAAACTTTGTATATAACCTACTTACATTACCCCGCCCATTCAAATGGAGTACATTAAATAAATAGGCGGAGTCCATTAAATCGGCTCATTTAATGTATAAATTCAATACATACAGTTGAGTTACAGCACTGTATGATAAATATTTCGGCAAAATTTAAACAAAATAAGCAATTTCATTGGTAGACAAACTTTGGCCATCTGTAAACATACCTTGCAGAGATCTGAGTATTGTAGCCTGTTAAATTGTCTGTCACTAGATGGTGAACATAATTCCACATATCCTAGCACTATCTGAAACGCTGCATTTTGTATAGCACTGGTAAAATGTAGATGTAACTGGTCTACCGCGGTCTGGAATATTGATTCAATGACATAAAATTTGAATATGACACAAAACAACTCTTTACAATAAAATGAAATAAACAATAATAAACTTGCAAAATTTGGTCCATAAATTTCAATATTCATTTAAAAGTATCAAAAATCAAATTAGAAGCTGTAAAAAAACTTAAGTTGGAAATACTTTGACCACAACAAGAGCTGTCGGTAGGACAGCAACGCTCGACTATTCTTAGTGCTTGATAGTAAAAAAATGCTTGATACAGTTACCTCCTCATGTTTACAGGTTGGGGTCATGATGGTGAACAAGTGTGCAAAGTTTCAAAGCCATATGTCAATGGACTTTGAAAATATTTGAACTATTACAAAAACTTTAACGTAAATTCTAAGTCGAAAAAGGGGCATAATTCTGTCAAAATGCTTGATAGAGTTACCTCCTCCTGTCTACAGGTTGGGGTCATGATGGTGAACAAGTGTGCAAAGTTTCAAAGCCATATGTCAATGGACTTTGAAAATATTTGAACTATTACAAAAACTTTAACGTAAATTCTAAGTCGAAAAAGGGGCATAATTCTGTCAAAATGCTTGATAGAGTTACCTCCTCCTGTCTACAGGTTGGGGTCATGATGGTGAACAAGTGTGCAGAGTTTCAAAGCCATTTGTCAATGGACTTTGAAAATATTTGAGGAATTATAAAAATACTTTAACGTTAATTCTAAGACGAACAAGGGGGCGTAATTCTGTCAAAATGCTTGATAGAGTTACCTCCTCCTGTCTACAGGTTGGGGTCAGGATTGTGAACGAATGTGCAAAGTTTCATAGCCATATGTCAATGGACTTTGAAAATATTTGAAGTGTTGCAAAAACTTTAACATAGATTCTAAGTCGAAAAAGGGGCATAATTCTGTCAAAATGCTTGAAAGAGCTACCTTCTCCTGTCTAGAGGTTGGGGTCATGATTATGAACAAATGTGCAAAGTTTCAAAGCCATATGTCTATGGACTTTGAAAATATTTGAACTATTACAAAAACTTTAACATAAGTGGTTACGCCGACGCCGACGCTCGGGTGACTGCAATAGCTCTACTTATTCTTATCGAATAGTCGAGCTAAAAAGGGGCATAATTCTGTCAAAATGCTTGATAGAGTTACCTCCTCCTGTCTACAGGTTGGGGTCATGATGGTGAACAAGTGTGCAAAGTTTCAAAGCCATATGTCAATGGACTTTGAAAATATTTGAACTATTACAAAAACTTTAACGTAAATTCTAAGTCGAAAAAGGGGCATTATTCTGTCAAAATGCTTGATAGAGTTACCTCCACCTGTTTCCAGGTTGGGGTCATGATGGTGAACAAGTGTGCAAAGTTTCAAAGCCATATGTCAATGGACTTTGAAAATATTTGAACTATTACAAAAACTTTAACGTAAATTCTAAGTCGAAAAAGGGGCATAATTCTGTCAAAATACTTGATAGAGTTACCTCCTCCTGTCTACAGGTTGGGGTCATGATGGTGAACAAGTGTGCAAAGTTTCAAAGCCATATGTCAATGGACTTTGAAAATATTTGAACTATTACAAAAACTTTAACGTAAATTCTAAGTCGAAAAAGGGGCATAATTCTGTCAAAATGCTTGATAGAGTTACCTCCTCCTGTCTACAGGTTGGGGTCATGATGGTGAACAAGTGTGCAAAGTTTCAAAGCCATATGTCAATGGACTTTGAAAATATTTGAACTATTACAAAAACTTTAACATAAGTGGTTACGCCGACGCCGACGCTCGGGTGACTGCAATAGCTCTACTTATTCTTATCGAATAGTCGAGCTAAAAAGGATCAAAAGCATGTATAATCTTTTTTACTGATAAAAAAATTAAAATTTATATTTCAATCTTTATGAATGTTTTTTTATTTCATAACTTTAAGTTCAGTTTTATGGTAGCTACATTTTGTTTAAAGGAAAATAATCACTGTAAGACCTTACCTGTCTTTTACCAAGTAGGGTATAGGCCATCTGTACTTTCTCATAGTGAGCCACATCAAACAAAGAACAGGTTTTAGACAAGGCTATATCAAGATGCTCCTCTATCAATTCTAATGTGTCTTGCAACTTGGAACTCAACTCACTAAAAACGAAAATCAGAATCAACAAATAAAGATAGAGTCTACCTTAGTATTTCAGGGATAACTTAATATTTTCTTCTTGCCAGAAGTAACGTTTAAATTTTATATTTCAGTTTTTATTTTCTTCAATTTATAGTTGTACATTAAACAAGAGGGCCATGATGGCCCTGAGGTCGCTCACCTGTATATAGCCCCCCCCCCCCCAACGTTGCAGGGCCAATTTAACCCAAGGGGTTTTATTTGCACAAACTTGGTAGACACCCATAAGAAGATGTTTCATGCTAAATATCTAAGCTCTAGCTCATTGGGCTTTTTAAAAGAAGATTTTTTTAAAGTTTTTACTATACACATATAGTTAAAAACAATGACACCCCTGGGGCCGGGCCAGGGCTTTTATTTGAACAAACTTTGTAGACACTTACAAGAAGATGTTTCATGCTTAATATCTAAACTCTAGCTATTTGGGTTTTTTCAAAGAAGATTTTAAGTTTTTGCTATACACATATAAAGAAAATCAATGACCCCCGGGCGGGGCCAATTTTGACCCCAGGTCTTTTATTTGAACAAACGTTGTAGACACTCATTAAAAGATGTTTCATGCTTAATATCTAAACTCTAGCTATTTGGGTTTTTTCAAAGAAGATTTTTTAAGTTTTTGCTATACACATATAAGGAAAATCAATGACCCCCGGGGCGGTGCCAATTTTGACCCCAGGGCTTTTATTTGAACAAACTTGGTAGACACCCATTAGAACATATTTCATGCTAAATATCTTAGCTCTAGCTCTTTGGGTTCTTTAAAAGAAGATTTTTTAAGTTTTTACTATATGCATATAGGGAAAATCAATGACCCCCCGGGGCGGGCCAATTTTGACCCCAGGGCTTTTATTTGAACAAACTTGGTAGACACTAACTAGAAGATGTTTCATGCCAAATATCTAAGCTCTAGCTCTTATGGTTTTTTAAAAGAAGATATTTAAAGTTTTTTCTTTCGGTTGCCATGGCAACCAGAGTTCTGCATGGAATTAAATTCTTTGAACAATTTTTAAAGGTGACCACCAAAGGAACATTCCTGTGAAGTTTGGATGAAATTGGCTTAGTGGTTTATGAGGAGATGTCATTTAAAGTAAAAGTTTACGGACGGACGCCGGACGAAAAGCGATCACAAAAGCTCACCCTGTCACTTTGTGACAGGTGAGCTGAAAAAGGACATGTAAACCTACAATGCAACAGTCAAAGTATTGAGTTTTTCACACAAATCAACAAGAAACATGGCAATGCCATGAAACCAGGTTTTCAATTATCACCATTGTAGATTAATATGTTGTATTTGAAATACAAATACAAGCAACAAACAATGTAACTATGTGCAATGTAAAACATGAATAATGTAGGAGGAATTGCCACAGAGGAAGTGTTCACTATAATTATATTCTGTATAAGGAAAAAAAACAAAGGGCCATAATTAAATAAAAAATTATTCAATCACAAAACCCCGACAATATGCGCCAGGGCACTGGATGACAAAGCTACTGTGAAAGTTTGAACAAAATCCGTTGAGAAATGTAGGAGTTCAGCACAGAAGAATTTTTTCACTATATATTCTGTATAAGGAAAAAAAACAAAGGGCCATAATTAGATCAAATATTATCCAATCACAAAACCCCGATAATGTGAGCCAGGGCACTTGATAACAAAGCTTCTGTAAAAGTTTGGTCAAAATCTTTTGAGAAATGTAGGAGAAGTTGCGCATGGTAAAAATTGTTCACTATATAATCTGTATAAGGAAAAAAAAACAAAGGGCCACAATTAGGTCAAATATTATACAATCACAAAACCCGGACAATATGCCCCAAGGCACTTGATGACAAAGCCTCTGTGAAAGTTTGGTCAAATTCCGTTGAGAAATGTAGGAGGAGTTGCGCACAGAAAATTGTTCACTATAATAATGTCCTATATTGGGAAAAAAAACAAAGGGCCATAATTAGGTAAAATATTATCCAATCACAAATCCCCGACAATATGCGCCAGGGCACTTGAGTACAAAGCCTCTGTGAAAGTTTGGTCAAAATCCATTGAGAAATGTAGGAACAGTTGGGCACAGAAGAAATTATTCACTATATATTCTATATAAGGAAAAAAAACAAAGGGCCATAATTAGGTCAAATATTATCCAATCACAAAACCCCGACAATATGCGCCAGGTCACTTGATGACAAAGCTTCTGTGAAAGTTTGGTCAAAATCGTTGAAAAATGTAGGAGGAGTTGCGCACAGAAGAAATTGTTAACGCCCGTCCGTCCGCCCGCCCGCCGACATACCTCAATCTAATAACCAGTTTTTTCCTTCGGAAAACCTGGTTAACAAATACATGGATTACATGAATTACTGACCCTCTTTTACAATGACAATTATTTTTAACTTAAACCTCCAAAAATTTCAACAATATATCAAAGAATAGCTTAATGAAATCAGTTCCAAAAATGTTATACAAGATTTCCTGTTACTTGTATGTAATACAGATTTTCCTTTATAGCAAGACATATTTATTCAAACATTAAAAATTTATGTGTTAAGAAACTATAGAGGACAATATAAATTATAATGTTACTATGGTTACCTGATACATTTGTAATGTTTGAGAGTAATGGCTGCTTTCTGACATTCCAGACATAGTTGTATAGCACCATAATAATCTTCCTCCTGTAATATCAAATATATATTACAAATCTTAACCCTGTACCCTACTCCATTTATATAATGGACTTGTTCTGTATTGAAGATGGAACAGTCCATTAGAAGTTAAAGGGATGACAGTATCATTACTAATGGACAGATGTGCAGTTCGGTCTGGCTAACAAATGCTTCACAGTTTCTGTCCCTGCATTGCTTTGGTAACTTTACCTGTAAAGTTTGTACAATAGGGATAAACAGGTTGTAATATAACAATACTAGTGATCCAAATTTTTACACAAGATCTTTAAATGAATATAATACATATGAAACATTTGATATAAAATTTTAAATGAACAAATAGCAGCCATACCTCCATCATTTCCCTAAGTCTCATGTCTGTCCTTTGCTGAAATATACAGCAATTTTTTTACATAATCACAGCAAAGTATGTCTATAATAATGAATCCTTAAACTTAACCAAATGTAGGTGCAAACATTTAAGGAAAATTTGGATAGAGAAATGTTGTTGCAATTTTTTTTATAAAATAATACTACATGTATGAAAAAACTTCAGAGTATTGAATAATTTATAGCACTAAACAAACTATGTTTTTTTTCTTACATAAATTTGATCATAATATATATGGCATAACATATATTTTTAAGATATCAGTAAATGTGATATATATAAATAAATCTGATAATTGGGAGAAATGTACTCACCAATGTTTTAATTGTTCTTAATGATTTGAGTAGAGCATGAAGTTGTTGTCGTTTTCTAACATTGGCCAGTAGATGAAGGCTGGTCCGAGTAAATGTTGTACTTGCCTCAGCCAGTTGCCTAGGTAACAAAAGTTCTGATAACTTGATAACATTACACATAGTAATTGAGTATGTAAAACATTTAAAAACAAGACAGCCATGATCGCTCATTAAAATAAATATAAAAAGGTCAGATTATCCCAAAGAATCATGAAAACAAATCAAGTTTGTCAAATGCACATTCAATGGTCCATAAATAAAAGTAAATTGTATCATAGTTTGGAGACCTTTCTGTTGAAAATGTGTCAGGGTTAAATCGTATACATATACATGCACAGTGCGTTAACTGGAGTGCGGGTATTAGTTACCCGCACTCCAGAGCATGCCCATTGATTGGCTCATTTTTGCTGGGGTTTACATATTGTGACGGCAGAGAAAGGGAAAGCGACAGAAATGTCATATTCAGATGTTCGTTCATTGGTTCATTTTTGCCGGGGTTTCATATTGTGACAGCAGGGAACGTGCTTTTATGTTTGACTATGATACAAAAGGGAAAGAACACCAAAACACTCGACAATCTGATTAATACTCGGGGGCTACGCCCCCTCGTACAAATCAGATAGCCTCGTGTTTCGGTGCTCTTTCTATTACTTAAATCATTTGCTTTTGTTTTTTTTTTTGTTTTTTTTTTTAACTCAAGAGGGATAACCAAATTAATTTGCATGAATATGAAGGAATACTATCTACAGATACTTTCGACTAAATTTGATGATAACCAGTTAACTTGTTAAAGCATAGAAGCTAATGAAATATATTTGTACATTGCAGCTCTGGTAGCCCCAAATCAACTTGGTCAGAGGACCATCGAATAAACAAACATTTGCTCCTGGTGATAATTATACATAAATGAGTAAACTTTGATTAACCCTTAGCCTGCTGAAGGTAACAAAATCTACCCATATGTGCTGTCTGATTAAAGTCTGTACTGACTGCTATTCTGTTAGTACTTATTTTAAAATTTTCCCTAAAAATGAATAATTATTTTGTCCAGACTGAAAGATGGGCAAGTCTTTCAAAGATATTTATCATGATAAGGCTTAAGAGATTTCAATTTTTAGCACTAGATGCCTTAAAACAGGCCTAGCTACCACCTCCGATTATGCTCTAAAATACATGTAAGTTGCAAGTTGTACAACAATACTAACCCACGGCCATTTTTACAGATGATACTGGCAAGTTGTAATGTTTTCTGTAATTCCATAACTCTCTGTAGTTCTGCAGCATATGCTAGGTGATTCTGTAACACAACCTCTGATACTTTCTTTGACACCTGAAATATACAGGTATAATACTACAACCACAGTGTAATAATAACTATACTGGTGTTTCATATACATGAATTCAAAAATGTTTTCAATCAATTTCTAATGAAATCTAGAATGAAAATTATCATACAGCTCTGTATTTTACAGGGTATCTTAATCAACTCAGAATTGTTTAATGTGTACATAGTACTTAAATTTCTTTTCTTTTTTTAAATAAATAGTCTTTAAATGCCTACATGATACCTATGGTTGATGAATGAACAAACTAATTTCTGGTAATTGAAGGTAACATTCAACTATAATGTATCCTTGCCCGATACTGCCCGGCAATAATACTGTATGAAGGAATCACCACAACATTACATGTAATTTAGCTGAGCATTCTAAAAGCCTACATAAATCTATATCTTTTCCTGTTCTGCCATTCTTAACTTTTAAATGCATACAACAAGAAAGCACTTACATTAATATACAATAATATGAAACAGTCATTTAATCAGATGAACAGATCTTTTATAATTGGCATACATGTATTATAATTTGAGATTTCTCCATCCCAATTTAAAGCTGAAGTTCAATAAACATAGAATATATACTCACTGCCTGTAACTGGCGACGTAATCTAGTCCGATCATCATCAACTTGTTCTAAATTTAAAACTTCTGGTAATTTCTGAAAAATATGTTGATAAAAAATATTTCAAATGACATTTAACAATCTAATAACAACAGCCATGACATGTCTTTACCAATTGTATAGAGTTAGGCCAGCTTTCATATCTGTCATCTGGTTCCTTAACTTGAATAGTGTTATCAAAATTACCTTAAAATATATATGTATGTGTATCAAAATATTATACTTCGTAACTGTTACATAACTTTACTACTGATTTTAAAACATTTCATGGATACAGCATGGCATATGTTTTCCATGTATTTTTACTGCATTTATCACTTTGTCTTTTAATGCTCAATGTAAAAAGAAAATCTGCTATGCTTTACTCAAGTCTCAAGGGATTATTAAATACAAGCTATAATTTTTTTACAGATACATTATACTTGGTTCCTCAATCATCATCACACTGTATTTTTTACTCTTTTAATATTGGATCAAAACAGTCCTCAGTCCATTATCTTAAATAAATTAAATTGGTCATACTTGTGCACCATAAGGTCTTAAGACACTTACCTCTAGTTCATACAAACTAGGATCTACATCCTCAAAGTATTCTTTATCTATTTTATCTATAGTTTCCTGATCTTCTTGTGGATTGGATCTATACTGTTCATGCTGGAACATAATATATATAAAGTGATATATAATATGCCATTGATACATGAAATTAGTTTTTTGGTTGTTCTTTTTTTTCTTTAATGAAGAGGTTAGAGGGGGGGTTGTTGCACAAACACAGTTAGGTTATATTGCAAATTTCCAGCTTGACTAGTAGATGAAGACCTCAGGTGCCCCTCTATACTTTAAGCACAAACAGGCACCTGTGTAGAACCACCAGCGTTCTGTAAGCTAGCTGGATAGCCTCCTTCTCTTGGCAGAATGGGACGACTCTTGCGCAGTTTGAACTTACAGCAGTAAGAGGAAAGTGGTTTGAAGTCAACAACCTTAACCTCTCGGCAACGGACATAAAAAATAAGGTCATAAAATATGTGAAAGTGAAAAAACTAGATACAATATGTGATAATGAGGTTAAATAGGAGTAAATGATATAAAACATATCAGTTTGATATAACATGATAGTGAGTTGAAACATGATACTGAGATAAAATATGGTAGTGAGTTAAAACAGGATAGTGAGATAAAATATGGTAGTGAGTTGAAACATGATAGTGAGATAAAATATGGTATTGAGTTAAAACATGATAGTGAGATAAAATATGGTATTGAGTTAAAACATGATAGTGAGATAAAATATGATAGTGAGTTAAAACATGATAGTGAGATAAAATATGGTATTGAGTTGAAACATGATAGTGAGATAAAATATGGTAGTGAGTTGAAACATGATAGTGAGATAAAATATGGTAGTGAGTTAAAACATGATAGTGAGATAAAATATGGTAGTGACTTAAAACATGATAGTGAGATAAATTATGGTAGTGAGTTGAAACATGATAGTGAGATAAAATATGGTATTGAGTTAAAACATGATAGTGAGATAAAATATGGTAGTGAGTTAAAACATGATAGTGAGATAAAATATGGTAGTGAGTTAAAACATGATAGTGAGATAAAATATGGTATTGAGTTAAAACATGATTAAAACATGATAGTGAGATAAAATATGGTATTGAGTTAAAACATGATAGTGAGATAAAATATGGTAGTGAATTAAAACATGATAGTGAGATAAAATATGGTAGTGAGTTAAAACATGATAGTGAGATAAAATATGGTAGTGAGTTAAAACATGATAGTGAGATAAATTATGGTAGTGAGTGGAAACATGATAGTGAGATAAAATATGGTATTGTGTTAAAACATGATAGTGAGATAAAATATGGTAGTGAGTTAAAACATGATAGTGAGATAAAATATGGTAATGAGTTAAAACATGATAGTGAGATAAAATATGGTAGTGAGTTAAAACATGATAGTAAGATAAAATATGGTATTGAGTTAAAATATGATAGTGAGATAAAATATGGTAGTGAGTTGAAACATGATAGTGAGATAAAATATAGGATAGTGAGATAAAATATGGTAATGAGTTGAAACATGGTAGTGAGATAAAATATTGTAGTGAGTTGAAACATTGAAATGTGATAAAATATAGCATGGCAATATAAAACATGGTAGTGAAGTTGACATGATAGGGAGATAAAAAATATAGGATGGTGAGATAAAACATGGCAGTAAACTGAAACATGGTGAGATACAATATGATAGTGAGGAAAAACATGATAGTCAGATAAAATATAGGATGGTGAGATAAAACATGGTAATGATGTAAAACATAATAGGTAAAATACAGGATGGTGAGATAAAGCAATTAAAATTTTACCTTAAACTTTGCTACTGCTGGTTCACCATTGAAAAGTTCATGACTGATATTTTCTTCTATTGGGGATGGATGACTGTCCTATAATGTAAGATGTATATCAATGTATAAAGATTTAAGTTATCATTTGGATTATTCAACTAAATACAGTATTTCTCAATATATAAGTAACCTTCCTTTTATTAGCACACTCCATGCTTCCCATTTTTTTCTATTGGAAAGGCCCATTGTCAACCTTATCTTATTATTTTTGGTTATTTACTAGGTTTACAATTAGGGTTGTAGAAAAAAGTAATTGCATCTGTACATTAAAAGACTGTATACATACATAGGTAGGAATTACAGAATTGGTTACAGGATATAAGGTGCATCATGGGTTTTCATTGACATAAACTAATGATTATCAATGGCTTATCTGTGGAAATATTTACAATATTCCATGAAAGAAATGACATTCACTCGAAATAATACTCTTTTGGAAGCAAGTGTCGAAAAATTATTGTCCATCATTTTATAGTTTTATATTCAATGTCAAGGTTACAGAAAAGATAGATCACATCCCAGAATTAAATTGTAAGTTGGAAGAGTCAGTTTCAAGTCATTTTAGCCCTAAAGATGATTCTGCCTAATAATCTGTCATGGTTAAGACCGAGTAATTAGTCCTGTCAAAGTGGTATAAAAGTCATTTTCAAGCCCAATCACCAGGTGCATTTAATGCACAGATAACACCTGGTTGGAAGGTGTTGGGAATAATAACTGGCAAAGTGAAGAAGGAGCAGCTCATATTAAATATCTTGGTTTTTTTATACACTTCACAAGATTTCCTTTCTCAAAGAAGAACAAAAGACACAATCCCACTTTATTTCTCTTGCAACTGCTACCACATGTTTAGTCCATCACTTTGAATAGTGACTGGTGTATACATATGTAAACATTAATGCCAAGCTCAGAATTATTTGTGATATAAACAATAAACTAATTTATGTCTTGAATTTTTAAAATGAGATTAATATTTAATATTCATAAAGCAGTGCTTTTTTTTCTTTATATAACTGCTACCCTAAAACGGTACTGTTCCCAATAGAAAATAGACATTAAAATTCCCAATTTCCAATGTTTAAATTCCCAAAATGGCTGTTCAAAATTTCCACAAGGCCAAGTGATTTCTCTGAAATCATCTAAATCCAACATATTCATATAAATCATCACTGGATAGTTCTACCTGGACAGTGGAAGCTGTTAGCTATCTTTATTCATGATGACTAATCTTATTTGTAGCTGAAAAAATGCATAAAAAAGTTCCCAATTTAAGTAAAAATAACGCATTTTTTCCCAATCAGTCTGGTACTGGCACCATTACCAAAGTAGAGAAAAAAAACGCTGTAAAGTCACTCACTCTTTAAAGAACCAGAATCTACTTTCTGATTTTACGTTAAAAACAGTACCTGTATTTAACCCATAAAATTTTCTTGCATAAAAAAAGAGTCTTTCCAATAGAATGGTATGGAAATGCTCTACAATTAAACATGTCTCAGTATCGACTTTTTACCTCAGAGTTATTATTCTGAGCGTGTAATATCACAGCGCAACCCAATATATTTCATTGTAATACTGAGGTGTTAGTGATTTGTTGTGTAATTTATTTGTTATGACAACAATCCACAACTTTTAATGTAAATTAAATTATAAATTAATAGTTTTGTTACATAAGATAAAATTTGCATTTAGAAGAATACAGCGGAAAAAGGCATCCACTTGTCCATTGCAATAAAGACCCTGCATGAAACAAGTATAATCAGTAATCACATGTGTCACCTCATGTAAGCCAATTGTGTGTTGCAGTCACTGTGTAGCAGGAGACACAAAATCATTTACAAGGCCAAAAACATTTTTTTATTCAAGGGCCATACCTCGATCCAAAATTATTCAACCAGAAAACCTGTGTAATATTGCAAGAACTTAAGCAACAGCTACAGTGTCATTTAAATTGACTAAGTGGTATAAAAAGAGTTGTCTGGACAAACTTTAAAAATAAAAATCAATAAAGGGTCATTACTCGGACAAAATTCATAGAACTGGAAAATGCTGACGATATATCAAATTGCACTAATTAGTAGTTTTTGAGGAGTAGTCCTGTGACAGACAGATGGACAATCAGACGACTGTGATGTGATCACCATATGTCACCACTACTCTGTAGAGGCAGAGTAGAGGCGTCAGAATAACAGTTTAGGCATACCGGTAATGGTTCGGCAGTTAAGGCAAAAAAGTCTTGACCGCCTCCGTGGTCGAGGGGTTAGAGTCGATGACTTCTAATCAAGTTACCTCTCTGGCGTGGGTTCGATCCCCGGGAGATGCTTTGGTAGTTTAGCGCGGAGGAAGGTAGTCTAGTACTGGTGTAACTCTCCAGGAACGATGGTTAGGAAACTACCCGCCTATATGACTGAAATACTGTTGAAAAGGGCGTAAAATGAAACAAACAAACAAACAAACAAACAAAAAAGTCTGTCAAATGAATCATGAAAACAATTCACACCCTATAAATTAGGCTAGCCATGATTTATATTTACATGCCATTGAAAGAAAATGTAAACAATAAAATGTCACTGTAATCAGGTTAATCACAGCAAAGTGCCTTGATGTTACCCATTGATTATCCAATTTTATGCAGTATCCGGTTATATGTTAAGTACAATATTGACAGATTTAAGAAACTAGCAACGTAGATCAGAAATTCTTTACCTCGTTGGTTGTGACCTGTTTCTTTATAAATGATTTTAGTTTACTTGTAAGGGACATCTTGCACAAAAACAATTGGCAGAAGAAAGTATTTGCATTTTTTTCTGACAGCAAATTACTCAAGGGCAGCAATTCACTTCCGCACTACAAGAGTATTTAACAGTGATCTCCCTTTTGTTTACAAATTGTTGGGAAATACAAATTTGCTTCAGTAGCAAAAAAATTATATTTTGAAAGAAAATTGAAAGAAAATGGAGAGTGACAGTGAAAATGAAGAAACTTCCTCAGCAGCAGAAAAAAATAGAAGAAAGTATATATCTTCAGCGGAAGACCTGAAATCTTACGGATGGGGAGGTACATGTGTAATTTTATTTTTTTTACAGTCTATCCCACTGCATAGTGAGTTGGAAATAGTACTCACTATACTGGCGCCAAAGCAAAATCAATGTAATTAACCTGACAAATGTAAAATCTTGGTTCATCTCCCCAGCAATGCCACTGGGTAGGATGAAAAGGTTTCAATTAACTTTTCCAAAACATTGATAATTATATATCTGCCCTGTGATGCACTTCGAATCAGAATAAATTGCATAATTATATGTCATGATATTTTCTTGCATGTTCTTACTTTTACCATATTTAAATGGTTTACCTCATTTCATTAATTTTTTACATGGAAATAAAAATATTATCCTGGTTGTACTATCTACCGGAAATGTAAGCATTATTTGGCCCACCATCATATAATACAGAAAAAAGTTTAGGATAAAATAGTTATTTACTGTAGTTCTAAGCTACCATTTTTTGATAAAAATAACAATTATCAAAAAGAAATTTTAACTAAAGTGGTAATGGCTGTGTCCTTCAAAGACATTAAGATGGTAAATGGGATTTTGAAAATACTTGGCACAAATAGGCCTAGTCACTATAATAAGACAACGTTATTTCTAAAGTGAATGCCAAGCTCAAGTTTTTATACAGGCAGAGCAGACTTTTAGATACTAAAACAAAACAGCTTTTATGTTCAGCCCTGATTCAGTGTCATTTTGACTACTCTTGTTCCTCTTGGTATGAAGGTTTATCAAAACATTTAAAAAGAAAGTTACAAATTACTCAGAATAAGGTATTAAGATTTGTCCAAAACTTACCGCCCAGAACTTATGTAACAGTGTATGAGTTTGAAAAATTAAATTGGTTAAATGTAGAAAACAGAGTCAAACAGTTAAGACTAAATCATATGTATAAGATTTTTTACAAAAAGAGTCCATCATACTTAGAGCCGACTTTAGATGTTGTGCTGATGCAAAGATTTTAACAATACTAGATCAAGCAATTTTAATTTTATTGTCCCCAGTGTAATTCTGTGATGAAACAGACCTTTTATTATAATGGAATTAAAGACTGGAATGATCTGCCAGAATATATATAAAATCCATTAATAATTTTGTGCAATACAAAAAATCTGTTAAAAAGTACCTACTAGAAAGCTATAAAAGTCTTTCAGAAGATATATATGTGTACAACTAATGTGTTAGGCACTGTGATCAAATATTTCTGTGATAGTAATACTAGGCTTATTTTAAAAAGGGCATACTTCTATAAATATATTTCCTTTTTCAACCTAAATTTTGACCAAAGTTAGTTAGTTTATATTTTTATATTTTTTATCTTGTTTGTTTTTTAGGGGGGGGGGGGGGGGGGGGGGGGGGGGGGGGGGGGGGGGGGGGGAAGGGTTAAAAAATTATGTTAGTTTTTTTTATTTCTATGGACCCCATTGGAAATAAGCATTTAGCTTAATGGGCTATCCATAGGTGCATAGTACCTCTTATTTTTTATGACAAAAGTGTGCTCTTTTATGCTGTTTTATGATCTCATTTTATATATATGATTTATTTATGTTATCTCTTAACTGTATGATTTTATATTATGTATCTTGTGCTATGTTCCTAAAATGTATAAATAAATAAAATAAATATGGGTAACACCTGTATCCCTACCTCCAAGGTCAAGGTCACACTTAGAGGTCAAAAATTAACATAGTCTGTTATAGGGTATATTTTGTGTCCAATCTAGAACTTCTTCATAGTTCAAGGGATTTTGAATAACTTGGCACAAATAGTCACAATGATAAGACGATATGTCAAGTACAACACCTGCACCCCTACCTCCAAGGTTAACAGAGTCTGTTACATGGTATATTTTGTGTCCCGTCCATAATTTCTTCATAGATCAAGGGATTTTGAAAATACTTGGCACAAATTGTCACAATGATTAGATGATATGTCATGGGTAACACTTGTGTCCCTACCTCCAAGGTCAAGGTCACACTTAGAGGTCAAAGATTTACATAGTCTGTTATAGGGTATATTTTGTTCTTCATAGATCAAGGGATTTAAAAAAAAAATTTGCACAAATAATCACAATAAAAAGACGATGTGTCAGGCGCAAAACTTGGTCCCTACCTCAAAGGTCACACTTAAAGGTCAAAGATTAACATGGTCTGTTATTGGGTGTATTTTGTGTCCGATCTATAACTTCTTCATAGTTCAAGGGATTTTGAAAATACTTGGCACAAATAGTTCCAATAATAGGACGATATGTCATACACAACACATGCACCCTTACCTCCAAGGTCAAGGTCACACTTAGAGGTCAAAGCTTAACATGATAGATTTTTAAATTCCGGGCTACATTTTATCTCTTTAATAAATTTATTGTTGCATTTGCAGATCAAGCATTGATCATAATTTTGGACTGAAAGTCCTGAAATCCATACCTCAATCTTTTAAGATAGCACCATTTTATGCTTCATATAAAAATTCCCTGAAGCGGGGACCTTAATTGGTAACTCTGTTACAAATTCTTGTTAATATAGAAGTATGCATGAACAGAGTTATATTTTTTTCTGCTTATGATGTTTCTGTCCTTTTTTATTTGTTTGGGTCGTCAGACCAAACAAATAATGGTAGCGAAATTTCAGACCCTGATGCTGTTAATTGCAAATGCCGAAGAAGTCCCCTTTTTTGAAGCGGTTATTTCCCTTTATATGTACACTAACGCCGAAAAATTCAGGGGATATCACTGCGTAAAGATGGTCAAATGACAGGCGCATTAATTTTCAAGCAAAATAGTTCTTGAATGGTCGAAGATTTCTAATATTGTTTTATTCTTTATAGATATACATGCTTATAGTAAGCTCCATGATTATTTACATCTGTGTTAAACGAAATAATAAGGGTTACAAACCCTAATTTAGAATAATATGGTTTTCTTCAGGCTGTTAACACATAACTTGCGCTCTCGCTTAGGAAGGGAGAGGTCTGGAGTTTAAAACCCAGTTAAGGCAACTCATTTTTTTTTCAACTTGTTTAAGTCAAATAAACATTGAATTGAATATCAGTGTTGCAATTAGTCTTATAGCCAAAATCATTGGTGGCACTATACAAAAACAAATTGGTTTATAATCTCACAACCTTCACCTTTCTGACATTCCGAGACCCAAACAAATTCAGCACCTTCTGTGCTTTGATTATTTCAATTGATTACTACAATATTATCTTTAATTAATTGATGATTGTATAATATGTTCTGTATAGTTAAACTAAAATGATTTTCTATTATAGATATGTCCCTGCGCTCATACCAGATTGTTGGAGTTAATTGGATGATAGACAGATACAATCAAGGAAATGGATGTATACTAGGAGATGAGATGGGGTTGGGTAAAACATGCCAGGTATTTAAGAATTTACAACTAGTTTTGATTTATATTTTCATAAAGTATTATAGATATCATTGATAAGTTGCGATTCATAAAAAATGTTTTCTTTTTATTCTTAAATATTTAATTAATTGTATTATCTAACTATTGCTACACTTGATTGCCATCATGACAAATACCAGTATATTGTTTGAAAATTTATTTTTTGTATTTAAGTCTGACATGAATAAACAAATAGTTATATTTTGTGATAATATATAGTGTTGAGACTGTATTATATACTTATCATATATTTTTATGCTCTAGGATTGCAAGTTGTTTATAATGTAGAAATTGTACATGTTCAGATAATTATGATATTCATGCTTGGTCACTGGAGTATATAGAACCATTAAGATTGGTTTGTCATAATATTTCCATTATTCCATCACACTTAGTGTTTAAGTGCCTATATTTATCATAGATGCTATCTTTCATTTTGATTAAGCAGGAGGTTGATGGGCCAAGCAGTGTTCACAAATACTCTTATATACATGAAAAAAAAACGAAAAAAAACCACACAAAATCAGTTGTATAACTTTATAAAATTTGTGTCATTTTTTTTGTTTTAGAGGGTCAATGTCAAGGTCACTTAAACTTTTAATAAAATTGCACTTACACTTTTAGAGATTTCACTTAATGACAGATATTTTGGATCTTTCCTATGTAGATATGTGCATGCTTACTGTAGCTAAAAATATTTTTTATAATACTTTGACAAATATCTTGTTATTTTAGTTAGTAGGTACATTGTATGGGTGTCTACTCTACGATTTTGTTCAAAATTGATCTGATCAAGGTAATGGTCTGTAAGGCTATTAGATTTTCTTTTACATTTCTTCATTATTTGGCATTGTTTAATGTTTATATTTTGGTAGAAGTTAGGGGCTAAATTAAGTCAACATTGGGTTGCATGCCTCTGTGTCACAGTCTCACTGATACTAATATATTAGCTGTGTACAAATCAACAATAATTGTTATATCATGTTTACAGACTATAGCAGTGTTAGCGTATCTACATACCAAATGCAAGAAAAAACTACCAAACCTTGTTGTATGTCCCCGTTCTGTGTTGGAGAATTGGGACCAGGAAGTAAAAAGGTAATGTATATTATTTATTTCTTTTTTGGTAATGCATTTTAGTTTTATTTATTGTTTTGCAGATGACATATTCAAAGAGATTTAGAGCTAGTGCAAAAAATTAAAAGAAGATTTAAATGAAAAAGCATTTCATCAGATAATTTAGTCTCACACAGATAACACTAAAAAAGCCTTGATTATAACTAATGTTTATTTTTTCAATGTATTATATAGATTTGCGCCTGGTTTGAGACGTCAAGTTTACATTGGTGAGAAGGAAAGTCGACAGGACCTGGCAAAGTCTATCAGATCAGATCACAGGAAAAATGACCTCAAGTTTGATGTTCTTATCACCACATATGAAGTAATGTAACAATATTACTTTATAATTTGTTAAACATTTAATAATTAAATGTGATAGTAAAAGCATAGCTTGGTTTAAACATATATTTATTTAAGCTTGATTGAGAAACAAGTTCTTGCAACTTATATTAATCAATTCCGAGTCTACTTGCTGGAACCAAATAGTACTGGTGACATATGAAGAAACATGGTCTGTCCCCGATTAGGGCTCAAACCCATGATCCCTAGGTAAAGAGCCAGATACCTTAACCACTAGGTTACTGCATAATGGAAGCTTTAATGGAAATATTAGGATAAAAATATTACAGGTGCCCCATTTTCAATTTTTTAACACCATACAAGTTAACCCTTACCCTGCTTAAATGAAAAATGACTAACCTTTGCCACCAGTATACAGCCAGGCCAGCCTGTACATCCTTGCAATCTGACCAGGCTCTATACTGTTGGCGAACTACTTTTCAAATTTTATCTTGACTTGATATACCCAAAATTGAAAATGAACAGTTCCAACAATTGAAATCGGAAAAGTCATATAGAACTGTTGACGACAAGAATATACCGGTATTCTATATGAAAAAAGCTTAATTCTCTTTTCTTAATAAATTGTCTTGTAAGATCCACCCTAAAATATTTTTAATTTAGTCATTTTTACAGGTATTTTAAATTATATTCTACAAGCAAGCATAGCTAATGTTGTAAACATGTTATGTCCTTGTTTCAGATTTGCCTGAAAGACTCTGCTTTCCTGAACTCTATCCACTGGAACATACTGGTGGTAGATGAGGCTCATAGACTGAAAAATCTCAACTCTTTACTCTATAAAACATTGTCTCAGGTATTAATTTACTCTATTAAACACTTTCTCAAGTATTTATATTTAAACTATATACACAACTTACACTATAAAACTCTGTCTTACGTATTTATTTACACAGCTTACACTATAAAACACTGTCTCAGATTTTAATTTACACTATGGAACTCTGTCTTGTGTATTTTTTACACAGCTTACACTATAACACTTTCTCGGGTATTTATTTATTCTATAAAACACTGTCTCATGTATTGA